TTCTCTGATTAGATTTGGTCCAAGGTCTTTCCTTCCTTCCTTCCTTCCTTCCTTCCTTCCTCTTTCTTTGTCTTTGTCTTTCTCTTTCTTTTTCTTTTCTTTCTTTTGTAATTGAGAATGGGATTGTTTCCTAAATTTCTTCCAGCAAGGACTTTTTGAATAGGACTCTTTAGCTGTTCAGGAAATAAGCCAAGAATTAATAAATGAGACCTCATGAAATTAAAAAGCATCTGCATAGCAAATGAAACAGTTACTTGCATGAAGAGACAGTTTATAGAATGGGATTAAAAAATCCCATCTATACATCTGACTGAGAAGTAATATGTAAAACATACAAAGAACTAAATTACAAAAAAACTAAACTACAAGAAAACAACCTGATTTTAAAATGGACTTAAGAACTGAACATAGAAAAAGAAATCCAAATGGCCAGAAAATATTTTTTATTGTGTTCAACATCCTTAGTCATCAGGGAAATATAAATCGAAACTACTTTGAGTTTCTATCCTGAACTCCTTTGAGCTTCTATCCTGTACCCCAATCAGGTTAGTATCTAGAAAACCAATGCTGATGAGAATGTGGGGTGGGGGAGCCCTCATTCACCATTGCTGGAAGTGCAAACTGGCACAGTCACTTTGGAAAGCAGCATGGAGACTCCTCAAAAAGTTAGAAGACAGCCAGGCATGGTGGCACACATCCTTAGTGAGAGGAAGAGGCAAGTACATCTCTGTGAGTTTGAGGCCAGCCTGGTCTACATAGAGAGTTCCAGGCTAGGGCTGCATAGTGAGATCCTGCCCCCTCCCCAAAAGGCTAGAATTCCCATATGACCAGCTATTCCACTCATGAGCATAGACCCAAAGACTCTCTATTCTATTACAGAGATACCTGAATGTCCATGTTCATTGCTGCTCTATTCCTAATAGCCTGAAAATGGCACCAGCTTAGATGTCCAACTGATGAGTGAACAATGTGAACGTGGTATATATACACAGTGAGATTTTATTCAGCAGTAGAGAAAAATGAAATCATGAAATTTGCAGGAAAATGGATAAAACTGGAAAACATTATGTTAAATGAGGTGATCCAGGCTCAGAAAGACAAACACTGAATACTCTTTCTCATGTATAGATCCTAGGTTGTCATTTTTATGTATGTGCATTTGTAGGAGTGAGTGTAGGTAGAGGCCGGGAACTAGAGAGGCCTGAAAAAGGGGAAGAAAGGCTTTAAGAGCTAGAGGCAGAACAGAGGTGACATGAACGTAGAAGGGGAACAGTCAGTGGGGGGAGGATTTAGAGGGAGAGGGGTGTGGGAATGAGGGGAAGATTTAAAGAGGGAGGAGTGTGTGAAGGGGGACTCAACCAAAACTGAGTGTGTATAAAAGCCTTAAGGAAACCTGTTACTTTGTAAGCTAGTTTTAAAATATGTTTTTAAAAAAAAAAAAAAAAAAAAAGAAGTCTCTTCATGCTAAACAGGGATGTGGGGCAGGGATATAGCACAAAATTAGAACAGAGCTCCCGTCACACCACTGGAGGCATTTGCCATGGAAGCGTTTGCAGATCAAAGAACACTGGCATCTTTAAAGCTGAACAAAAGCTTTTTAGAGGTGTTAGATTTACAGTACAGTTTTTTAAAAAAAAAAAAAAAAAAAAAGAAGTCTCTTCATGCTAAACAGGGATGTGGGGCAGGGATATAGCACAAAATTAGAACAGAGCTCCCGTCACACCACTGGAGGCATTTGCCATGGAAGCGTTTGCAGATCAAAGAACACTGGCATCTTTAAAGCTGAACAAAAGCTTTTTAGAGGTGTTAGATTTACAGTACAGTGCCAGGACCTTTGGAAATGTTCCTCACATGTTACCAGATGTTTTATCACGCTGGCAAACAAAGACTCTTAGTCTTATATTATTTTGTCTCAAATACTACCTGTCTCTGTCTCTCATTATCAGTCTCCCTTTGGAGAAGAACAAAGCAAGCACATATGATAATTTACAAGTAAAGGTATTTAACATTTGCATTTTGTTACAGACATAAAATGTATTCTTTTTAGTCTATGTAAAGTAAAAAAAAGATACATACAGTTTACAATAGACGATAGAATTTCCAGCAGGGTTTTTACACTGTGACGAGTCATATCTTAGACCAGAAGGGCTTCAGAGAATGACAAAAAAGTAAAATAAAGCATGTGATGGTCAGCCTGCAATGTCTACAGGAGACACAGGCTGTGGGACAGTGGCAGATAGCTGAGTGTCCACTGTTCCAGATTTGGATACAGCTAGGTGTGGTGGCATATGTCTTTAGTCCCACCATTTAGGAGGTACAGGCAGGAGGATCTCTGTGAGATTAAGGTGAGTCTAGTCTTCACAGCGAGTTCCAGGTTAGCTGGAGCTACAGGGAGACCTTCTCTCAAAAACAAAACAAACAAACAAAAACCAAAACAAATAAAATGAACAAACAGATTTGGATACATATCTGTTTTGTTGTTATTTATTTGTTTTGAGACAGGGTCTTACTAGGTAGCTTTGGCAAGCCTGGAACTCTCATGTTGGTTTGGAATTCACAAAGACCCTCCTGTCTCTGCCTCCCAAGTGCTAAGATTAAAGGCCTGTGGCATCACATCTTTTTAAACAATATTTTTATGACATACCTAATACGTAGTTGATAACAAAAATGAAACTTCTGTCTCTCTGATCCTGCACCTACTAACTGGGTTCTGCTGTAAGTGTGAATAATGTCACCAAACAATGCCCACCACTCTTACTTGACTGGAGAAAGCAAGGTCACGGTTTCCATGTATCATTGTTTTAAAATCTTTTAATCTAAAGCATATAGAGTAGTGGAAAAATAATAAGCAAATATGTTAATTGGCTGCTAGCCTCTGTTTCTGTCTTTTACTATGATAAAATAAAATTAAACTTGCTTCTCCCTTTGCAAGGAAATATTAATGTTTTGATTTTTAATTTTTTTAAATTTATTTTTTAAAAAACAGAACAAGGGATGAAGAGAACATTTTTCAACTCTCATCAATGAAGCTTCCTCATTCAACAGAGGTCCAGGAACACAAAAGGCCACAAATGGCCAAAACGCAGAGAATAAGAGTTGGCAGAGTGTGGGTCCTGGGACAGGGCTCCTATTTTGAGTCCACCCTCAATATAGGGCTCAGGGCTCAGGGACCATTGCAGAAGAGGGGGCAGAAAGATTGTAAGAGCCAGGGAGGAGGTATATGACCATGCAAAAATAGTCCTACAGGTACCTGGGACCCTTCTCATACAAACCTACAGCAATGGTGTCAGCATGCACTAGACCCATGCAAACTTGGGCAGACAAAAATCCAGTACAGAACTGTGGAAATGAACAGCAAGCCCCAATCTTAGTCAAAGAATTATTGGCAGCTGATTACTGCTGAGTGAGGAAGAACTGATCTTCTTGAAGGGAGGGACTCAGGTAAGTTGACTAAACACCGATGGATGAACTTGCTCTGAGGGACATCTCAGGACACTAACTTTATATAATAGGCTTTAATACAAATGACAGAATGTATGAACTCAGGTCAGGGGGCTATAGGAGGGTGCCAAAGGGGAAAAGGGGAAAGGGGTATAAAGACGATTTTATGAATGAAATACAAAAATATTTAAAAAAATATTTTATGAGTATTATATCTGCATGTATGTAAGTGCACCCATGTCATGCAGTGCTGGTGGAGGCTAGAAGAGGACATTGGATCCCCTGAACTGGAGTTACAGACAGTTGTTAGTCACCATGTGGGTGCTGGAATTCAAACCCAGGTCTTCTGCAAGAGCAGCCAGTGCTCTTAACCACTGAGCTACCTCTCTAGTCTCCTAATGTTTTGATTTTAAAGGACTATTTTACCATTTATTTCACTCCCACATATTCTGAATTATTTATTCCTTATACAAATAGAGTTGTTCTACAACTTTTAATGAAGAAAAATGTGAAATAGTCATGGTGAGACAAGCTGTAATCCCAGGACTTGGGTGGTAGAGGCAGGAGGATCAGGAGTTCAAGATCATCTTGGCTGTGTGAGATCCTGTCTCAAGTAAAAAAAAAAAAAAAAAAAAAAAAGAGAGAGGAAAAAGGAAAACCAATCTTCACTGGCATTTAACATTGCTGCTTTTCTTGCTGGGGCAGCATGCCCCAGCTTGGGACCTTGGAGGTATAACGCCACTTCTTTTGAGGGGAAGGTTGAGTTTTCAGTGGACAGGCAGCTTCTCATGTTGATTTTGACTATACAGCTCTACTTTTGCAAGAGTGAAATTCCACTGAAGTGGCTTTCCAAAACTTTTTGTGGAAAATAAGAATTAATAGATGGCAGCTCCTCACTCCCAATCGCCAAACAGGAGACAAATTCATCAGGCAGCAGTGTCTGTTCTGGAAGAGTGTCCCTGGATGAGTCATTTTCCAGAAACACAGTAGTTTCTTTTTCTGAGTTTTGTATGTCAGAAGGATTGCATTCGCCTTTATCTAAAAGGAGACTTAATTCTTCAAGAGCTAGGGTGTTGCTTAATGAATTCATACTTGAGACAGAAAATGCAAAATGGGGGCATATTTTTAACTTGACATTATTTCCCACACCACAGAGGTCACCTGGTAGTTCAAGTGTTGAAGAATCTGTTTCATCACTGGGGTTGAGGTGGTTTTCCCCAGGGTGAAAACTAGAAATCTGGGGTTTGTATCCTGTGTTGAGATCAGGAATATACACAACAGAACTGGTGGACAATGATACTTGCAGACAGTCTCTTGTCTCCAGGGGTCCCACGGACTTTTCTTCCTTATAATCTGCGGGCTTGTGTGCTGGCAGAAAGATTTCGCTGATCTCTGTAATCACGGGATCAACATAAAGGGCACCCTCAGTGACAATATTGTTCACGAATACATTTTTTTCCTAGAAAAAAGGCATTATTTCATTTTACAAAAAACCACTTAAAGGGTTGACTGAGTAACTAAGAACTGAAATTTCCGTCCCCCAGCTTCCCGTTCCCCCCTTTGATCACAGTGTTTGTCTACTTGTATGAGTTCCTCCTTCTGTGTTCTGTTACCTTCTAAATCTTTATTAAGTTCTCCCAAGAGGAGACTGGAGTGACAGAATAATAAGAAAAAATCTATGCCTTAAGCACATTTCTTGGTTTTAAAACTTTTTGAAATGTTTTTCATTTTAGCCTAGGAACTCTTCGTTCACTGATGTGTGTCTGGGAAAAGTTGATTAACGGGCTCATCAAGCTTTAGGCAGAGCCTTGTGTGTCTGTTTTATAAATAGAACTGATTTGCCCAATGTGTTCTGTCCCTTTGCGCTTGGGCCCACGTGACCCCTCCATTTCTCCTAGAAATGTTTCTCCTAAGCCGCTCCTCATTTTGCCACATCACATTTGGACTTGTTTCTGTCATTGCCCGGATCCCTCTGCACTGTAATGTTTAGATGGCATTTCTGTCCCACTGACTGGGTTGAGAGGTTGTTGATGGCTGAGCAGAGTGCTGGAAGCACACACAGCTGACCTTTCCTGTCTCCCGCCACACCCCCAGGGTCTTCTCGGGGTATACTCTAGTTTTCCTGGCTGACATAAAACTTAGCCCATTCCTGGTGACACCATCTTCCACAATTTCCCCACGTTAAATTTCTCATTCTCCATTAAGTTAAAAGAATGAAGTGGTGCTCTCCTTGGACATGTGAGCGCACCTCCATCTCATGCAAGCAGAAGCCTCTTGGAAACTTTAATATGCCTGTGAGCTCTTCTTTCCTTTCTCCTCAGCCCCTGAAGACATATACTAACCAACCATTATACCTGACCCACAATTTTCCACTTCACTTTACTGTGCATAGCATATTTTCTCTTTCTTCTGTCTTTTCCTCCCCTAACTACATTCTTTCATCTCTTTTAAGTAGGGATTGAAATGCTACAACTTTGTTTCTACTTATACACGCGTATTCTACTTTAATTATTAGACCATCCTCAGTCCCAAATGTGATTTTTGATTTGTGGGGATTTTATTGTTTGCCTATTTGTTTTAGACAAAGTCTCATTATGTAGCTCAGGTTGGCCTTGAACTTGTGATCTTCTTGCCTCAGCCTCCCCAGTGCTGGGATTATAGGCATGTCTTCCCATATTGGGCATCAATCTGGGTCTGTTTGGTACTGTTTGATTACCTGTAGCATTTTCACAACGTTACTGTTTTCCATATTAGGAATATCTTCATGAAGCCACTTTGGTATTAGCAATAAGATTTTTCTTATAATCCTAAAAAAACAACATGACACATTAGAAACAGCAACTAATCCTAAGTATTACTTTAGGATTGGTGTAGGCAATCATAGTAGATGAAGATGTGAGATGGAATGGAATGTCTCTTAACTTCCTGATAAGGGCAAAGACTTCTGTCTCTTATTTTTTTAATTATTTTATTTATTATTATTTTTTTATTTTATGTGTATGCATGTATTGCCTGCATGTAGGTAAGTGCACTAGTGTCGTGCAATGCCCGCAGAGCACAGAAGAGGCTCTTGGATCCCCTGGAACTGGGGTTACGGACAGTTGTTAGCTGCCATGTGGGTGCTGGGATTCGAACCCAGGTCTTCTGCAAGAACAGCCAGTGTTCTTAACCACTGAGCCATCTCTCCAGCCCTTCTGTCTCTTACTTAATGAGAGTTCACTGAGAAGTTGATTCAGTGTCTTTCCAAATGTTCCTCTTGGTGCTGCCCTTGTGTTTAAAAGTACTTTCCACACTGACTGTGCAAACTGGTTTGGGCAAACAGATTGTGCCAGGACTGTTGAGAGAGGGTTCACTGATACATATTTTATTTTTTAGTGAACTGTGAAAAACAAATAAGACCTTGGACATTAGGGTAAAATGATTTCTTTATGTATGTTTATACAATCTTTTATGAATCAGTTTTCCCCTAATTCACATTCCACGTCTATGTTTGTAATTAGACCAAACCAGTAAGTTCATGCTACTGTGATGAAGTTTTCACACAATATACTGATACAGTATGCAGTGACTTTTCATATATATATGTGTACATAAACCCTTAGTTTCATTGTATTTAAAATGTTATGTTTGTCTCTGTTTCTAGTTCGGCTTCTAATATCAGGCTTTCATAAATACTGTGTTGCTACATTAAATAACAGTATCTGCATATAGATATTTATATTGGATTTATTTCTTTTATCTTTCTTTTGTGAGTGTATGTGTGTGTAGGTTCATGTGTGCATGTGAAGACCTGAGGACAACTTGAGTGGCATTCTTCAGGTGCTGCCTGCGCCCCACCCCACCCCGCTGCCCTATTTTTTTTGAGATAGGGTCTTTCACTGGCCTAGTAGGCTGGCTGGCCAGTAAGCCCTAGGGATCCACCTGTGCTCCCCAGTGCTGGGATTAAAAGTGAGTACCACCATACCAGCTGACCTTATTATCTTGGGTTCTAAGGATCAAACTCAAGTCCTTGTGTTTGCAAGGCAAGTATTTCACTGAATGAGTCATCGGCTCAACCCCTCTTTTATTATTTTTGTTATTGTTGTTGTTTTAGGGTTGGTTTGTTTTTTTTTTTTTTTGGTCTTTTTTGAGACAGGGTCTCCCTGTAGCCCCAGCTGTCCTAGAACTCGCTATGTAGACCAGGCTGGCCTTGAATTCACAGAGATCTGCCTGCCTCTGCCTCCCAAGTGCTGGGATTAAAGGTATGCGCCACCATGCCTGGCTGTTTCAGGGTTTTTTGTTGTTGTTGTTTGAAACAATGTCTCCCTGTAGACCCAGCTGGCCTGGAACTATGTAGAACAGGCTGGTCTTGAACTCACAGAGATCTGCCTGCCTCTGCCTAGCGCTGTTCTTTTATATTTTTTTAGAAAATAAAACTTATTTAATAAATAAATTACCCAAGAATTTTCCTATTTCCTTACATGGTATTATTAACAAAAGGTCTTTGGGTTATATTTGTTATAGTAATGAAATGAATGTTACTTATAATTTCAAAACAACTAGAACACCTTGGATGACAATGCAAATATTAATATTTTATAGACATTATTTTGAAAACTAAGAAATTTCAAGGGATTTTATAATTAATTATATTTTAATATATCCCAAAATAAAACTCTATAACAGTTTGGCCACCTGGCAATGGTATAGGGATATATTTATTAACATGAAATTTATTAGCATTAAAATTTGAAATATTAAGTTTTGTGGGAAAAGCTTGTGTAGACAATAAATGATTAGTATGATTTAGAATAGCTTATTTAAAATATTTCTTCTGCTTTGTTGTTGTTTGAAACAGGATCTCATAATGTAGCCCTGGCTGGCCTGGAACTTACTATATAGACCAGGGTGGCCTCAGACTCATAGAGATCTGCCTGCTTCTGTCTCCTGAGTGCTGGGATTAAAGGTGTGTACCACCACACCTGACTCTTTTCTGCATTTTGATTATAGCTTTAAATAAAATGTTATCTCAACATTTCTTGGTAATTTGGCAAAGAATGGCTATGTGTGCCAAAATCTGTGATAATTAGCAACACTGGAAACTGCAGCATTAAACAACTCCAGTCTCTTAACATATCTGAAATGCCAAATGCATCTGGTAGCATCCAAAAAGTCAGAGCCTTGCCTTCCTCGTGGTCTCATTTTACTAATACAATGCTGGGAGAAACTGTTTGAAAGAAGGGGCTGTCCCCAAATAGCACAGGGCTATTGCCACTGCTCTTGGTTGCCCACCAGAGCTAGATGGTAAGATCTTATTGCTGAAGTCATGACACACTTTGCTTGCAGAACACAGAGGAATCACGCTGGAGCTGATGTGAAAACTTCCTTCCTACTGGATAGTGTTTATAGTGCTGGAAGGTACTATGCAGGCCAGTTGGGGAGAAAAGTCACCAATAGTTTTACTGAATAGTGGACCTTGCATGCTACAGTACTAACCTGCCAGGCAAGGTGTGCCCACTTGTGCAATGTCATAAATGTTATAGGGGTAACTAACCACTTTCTGATAGGGTTTGAGACCCACTTCACAAAAGGGAATTCATGCCTGGTACTGTAAACCTGGTCAAAACCCATGACTGGGGAGCTCATGGGACCAAAGTTGGGGAGGGAGACCTACTGCTGTTGTTTTGCTAAATGGACAGGTTGTCTAATTGCCTTAAAATACTTGTTTATACCGATAGATTAGTGCTGCTTCAGCCTTGTTCAGAGAAGCTTATTTTTGTAGTGAGCAGTGGTTAGTATAGTTGCATAGCTGGTCAAAGAGCGGAGAATAAGTGACTATTGAGTGCTCAGCCCTAGATGGAAGACTCAGAAAGAATGTAAGAGCCAGAGGATGAGGAGGAATGCTGTGAAACGCTGTCCTCAGGACACAACATGGCTGTCACACTCATGAGCTCATGTCTGCTGTGGTTACCTGTGACAAGACATACACAAGACTGAACCAGTCAACATGCCATGGACTAGAGAGGGAGCATGAGGCCCCACCTCTAGCCAAGGAACTTCTGGCAGGTGATGGCTGCTGGGGGAGGAGGGAGTCATTTTTCTTCAGGTATAGCCTCTGGCAAGTTGCCCACAAACCAGCTCATAAATCCATACCCATGCCCACACAAGGAACCCTAATAACACTCAGTGGGTTGTAAGAAAGAAGAAAAACATGAAGTAGAAGCGGTGTTGGGAAGAAAAAGGGTTCCAGAGGGAGGGGTAAGGGGCACGAGAAGGGAATGGGGTATGTGTGTGAATATGACAAAAATAATACTGTGTGTGTGTGTGTGTGTGTGTGTGTGTGTTAAATTGTCAAATAAAAATATTTTAAAGAAAAAGAAGGGGCCTGGGGGCTGGACACCCAAACACAAACACAGTTGGTAACGGAGCGATGAGTTAAAACCTTGCCTTGCTTCTTTCACAATGATTCACTGTATTGTTTGGACAAAATTAAGGTGTGCTGTGAGCACTGTGGAATCCAGGCATGGTGGCTATCAGTGTGCAGGAAGCAGAGCCTGAGCACTGGTGTCCGCTGTCTTGTCAGGTTGAGGGTTTGGCAACCTTCGGTGGAGGACTCAGCCTCTCTGAGCGTCATCTCAGTCATTTGTAAACTGATCACAGAGCTTTTCTGGTACAGCCATTGTGAGGTTTCAATGAACATTTGTAAAAAGTGAGGCATAGGTAGGTACTCATTAAACACTGGTCCTTCAATTTCCCCTCATCAGGGCGGTGATGGCTCAGTGGGTAAAATACTTGCTATGCAAACCTAATGACCTGAGTTCAATTCCTGGAATCCACATAAAGGTAGAAAGAGAGAACTGACTACACAAGGTTGTTCCTTGACCTCCACACACATCATGTGGCATGTGTAGCCCCTGCATCACACACACAACAATACTAATAAAATTAATTTTTCTTTTTCAAAATGAAAATGTTAACGGGATGCTCAGGTAAACACTGAATTGACAACATTTTGGTAGTACACATATGTGGTCTAAATCAGGAACCAGAAACTACAAAAACCTACCCTATTCGAAGCGATCTGTTGAATATCCCAATCAGAGAAAAAATAGGCAATATGATGGCGAGGAAAACCATTCCTGACAAAAATCCGATGTCTTGACTGTTACCTGACAAAAAGAAAGAAATCTAATTTTAACAATGGTGACTGTTCCACTGTTCCATGTACTCTGCCTGAAGTGAAGGTCACTGATCTCAAAGGGAGGGGGAGGCAGAATCAGCCTCAGCTACAGCTACAAAGTGACTGCCCTTATAAATTGCCTGACTGAACTCCCCAGGAAACCACCTTCTGCTGAGAAAATTGGACTGCATGTATCTGAGGTCAGTGGGTGTCTAGAAGTGCATCTCCAGCAAATGTGGTCAACTTGCACATGCATATTGTATATGAATATGCTCCATGATGAACCTCATTTGGTCTACCTGACACAGGTCAGAAGTCCCAACTGCTGTGACAAGCTCTAGTGCTGGCCGCAATCACAACTAAGGTCTTTTTTTTTTTTTTTTTTAAATCTTTTGTGTGAGACAAAATTTACATGCAACTTCTCATCATTCTTTAAAATGTATTACTCATGAAATTTGTCCAGGTAAGAAACCACATTAATTCTACTTAGGACAAAATGTGCTATAAGAAAGAACTCAAAACTGACATGTCTTGCACCTATTTTAATAACAATACTTTCTTTTTTTCATTTTATTATTTTTATTTTATGTGTATGAGTGTATTGCCTGCATGTATGTGAGTGTACCCATGTCATGCAATGCTGCAGAGGTCAGAAGAGGGCTTCAGATTCTTCTGGAACTGGCATTAAGGATGGTTCATAGCCACCATGTGGGTGCTGAGAATCAAACCCGGATCCTTTGCAAGAGCAGTTAGTGCTCTTAACCACTGAGCCGTCTCTCCAGCCCCAAAATGATACTTTCTTACATTTTGCAGTTTAATCTCTTGAGATCATTCAATAAGTAATATAGTTTAGCCAGCATGTGTTACCCACCAGGCTCAACACATCTTCTCCTTAAATACATGAAAAAGAAAATAAAAACTATCTTCAGATACAGCTGTAACTTACCAAATTGGAATTTGTTCTAGAGCTGTTCTGGCAGTAGCTGCCTTTCTGTCCTCCTTCCTGCACACTGCTCTGTTTCCCCATTTTCTTTGGTAATTCTCCATCAGGCAGCTACTATACTGGCCCCATGCTAGCTACTTCCCAGCTCCATACCCTTGAGGGTCACCATGCCATTCATTCCCTCTTCTAATCCCATTTGTCAGGCAGGGCCCTGTGTAACTTTGGCCCACTTCAAATTCTCATAGAACAGAAAGTTAATGTTTTTCTAGAGCTAACGTGTTATTGTTCAATATTCCGAGCAACTAATGGTTTTACAAGCTGCTATACACCCTCGGGCATTAGAACTTGGAACTGGAGAGAGGGCTCCCAAGGTACGAGGATGCTGGGAGGAGTGGGGGTGGGGGGGTCGGGGGGGTGGGACTAAGAGCCTAATTGAACTCTGCCACTCATCAGCTCCATGGTTTGGGGCATAATTATAAACTCCCATTTCCTTTTCCACAAAACATAGATAATACTATCTAATAAAGCAACTATGAGTTCCTGGCCTTCAAAAGTCCCTCAGAAATATCAAGGTGCATGTCGACATAGGTCTGTGTTTATCAGGAATCTGTTCTGAACCTCAGGTCTTGGTCATAACTGATTTATATCTACAAATTGAGAGTGCCCTTACCTACTTCTCTGTAAAGTAACATGAAGCACAGAATAGATCCCTTGTTTTTTGTCAATTGTTTTTCTTTCCTGTCTGTAAAGAGTAGACCCTCCATGAAGACAAAGATCTATTGATTTTTTTCTTTTCTCCCTTTCTTCCTTCTTTCTTTTTTCCTTCCCTCCCTCTTCCATCTCTCCCTCCTTTTCCTTTCTTCTTTTCTTCCTTCCTTCTTTCCTTCCTTTTTTTTTTTTTTTTGACAAGGTCTCATGTAGTCCGGGCTTGCCTCTAACTTGCTACATAGCTGAGATTGGCTTTGAACTCTTGATCTTCCCGCTTCTGCCTCCATGCTAGAATTGTAGGCCTGTACCACCACGCTCATCTTTGTCCATTTTCTTTCCATTGTTGGTCCCTGTCACTCAGAACTGTGCCCGGATACATAGTTATTTAACAAACATGTTGACGGTCGGACGAAAGTATGAAGAATATCAGTACAACCTGCAAATTTTCTTATATTAGGCCTACAGGCTTTCAATCTGGAGGTAAATAGTAATAGTTGAAAAATACTCAGGCCTCAAGTTTTTCAATGTCAAATTCCTATTTAGCATCATATTTCCCTATTGTACAACTTTATGTAATATTTTTACATGCCTAAAACATTTCAGCATGCTCATCAATAAAAACAAACCAAGCCATACTGACAAACAAATGGAAGCTGGTTTGATTAAGAGAAGGGAGCACAGACGTCTGCATTTGAAGGAATAGGGCTGAGTGTGGTGCCTCATGCCTATGATCCCAGCACCCAGGAAGCTCAGGCAGGAAGTTTGCTGTGAGTTCCAGGCCATCCCAGAGCTGGGCGACAGAGACCCAGCACCCTACACCCACCCCCGCCAAAATTAGGGGGCTGGAGAGATTGCTCAGTGGTTGGGAGCACTCACTACTCTTGCAGAGAACCTGAGTTCAGTTCCAAGCAACCACATCAGGCAGCCCACAACTCCAGCCCCATAGGATCCTACATGCACATTCACATACACAGACATAAATAATAATAAAAAAATCTCTTCAAAACTTTTATAAAAATAAATAAAAACAGAACAGAATTTGAATTTTTGAATGTTTGGACACATTCCTCACCTCCTTGAGCTTCAGAGTAAATGCACAGCATTTATCTCAACCAATTGTTCGAAAGATGGACAAAGATATGTCTAATCCTGGCACATGGCAGACAGCTAATATTTTAAAATTTTATTTTGGGTGTGTGAGAGTATCGCCTACATGTGTCAGTGTTGTACAATTCCCATGGAGGCAGAAGAGAGTGTTGGATCCCTTGGAACTGGAGTGAAGGATGGTCATTAGCGTCCATGTGGGTATTGGGAACTGAATCCAGGTCCTCTGCAAGAGCAGTCAGTGCTCTTAACTGCTGAACCATCTCTCCAGCCTGAGATAATTATTTTTTTTGGGGGGGTCTTTTTGAGACAGGGTCTCTCTTTAGTCCCAGCTGACCTGGAACTCACTATGTAGACTAGGCTGGCCTTCGACTCACAGAGATTTGCCTGCCTCTGCCTCCCAAGTGCTGGGATTAAAGGCGTATGCCACCACACCTGGCCTGAGAGTTAGAACATATATGTTTGGTCTTTTTGAGACAGGGTCTCCCTGTAGCCCCAGCTGTCCAGGAACTTACTATGTGGACCAGGCTGGCCTTGAACTCACAAAGATCCGCCTGCCTCTGCCTCCAGAATGCTGGGATTAAAGGCATGCGCCACCACGCCCGGCTATTTTTAAAAGGACGTTTTTGGGACTTGAGACCCAGAGCCTGCCGAGATGACAATGTAGCTGCCTCACCTTAGCTACGTGTCAGGGGTAAGCAGATTTTGCACCTACTCAAGTATTTCTATAGAAAGTAGTCGGCTGTTTCCCAGAATTGCTGGCCTAGCGTGTTATTTTCAGTGTTGCAGGTACTTGCTGAGGAAGCCTCAGCAGTTTGGGTTTTTGTTTTTGTTTTACCAGAAGCAAGGTGTCTTTTAAAGATGGTAGTAGTCCGCATCCCAGAGTTCTGAGCATCAGGGGATGATTTTGGTGTGACCTGGGGAACTTAAAAGAAGAGAAAGGAAAAGCATATCAGTGTCTTAGGTTTTTGCATTCAGGTGGGCCACTTTCCTCAGAGATATTCTCCCCTTGTTTGGAGGTGATTGAACTAATACTTTCAGTTGACTTGAAGGGTAGAATAAAGCTATGGTCTCGAGTGTGTGCCTTTTTTTTCTCGACCTTCAGTCGAGTTGTTGGCTAGGATAGATTAAGGCTCTTCCAGACAGTAACCCAACATACTACTGGAAAAATGAACAGCAGACCCCAATTCTATCCAAAGGAATACTGACAATGGATTGCCGTAGATGAGGAACAGCTGACCCTCCTGGAACAGGGACCTCTGGCTGACTAGATTTACCAGAAGGGCAGACAGGAGGAATGGATGAGGGTGCTGACAACACAATGGACAGTGACAGGGATGGCAGAGTATGGAGCCTCTAGTGGGAGAGGAAGGCTGTCTATCTGACGAGTTAGTATTCATGCTCAGATGCC